GAGCGAGTACTGTGCCTTGTGGAACAGAGCTTTTCACCGTAGCTGCCTCGGACTTTACTCTGTTGACGACTACTCTCTGTGTTCTGTTAGTGAGGAAATTATAGATCCATCGACCGACTTTTCCTGTTATTCCTTTAGCACGCATTTTGTGCGCTATTACGCCATGGTCACACTTGTCGAAGGCTTTTGCAAAGTCTGTATATATTACATCTGCATTCTTTTTGTCTTCTAGTGCATTTAGGACCTTGTCGTAGTGATACAATAGTTGAGACAGACAGGAGCGACCTGTTCTAAACCCATGTTGCCCTGGGTTGTGTAACTGATGGGTTTCTAGATGGGTGGTGATCTTGCTTCTTAGGACCCTTTCAAAGATTTTTAGGATATGGGATGTTAGTGCTATTGGTCTGTAGTTCTTTGCTGTTGCTTTACTGCCCCCTTTGTGGAGTGGGGCTATGTCTGTTGTTTTTAGTAACTGTGGGACGACCCCGTGTCCATGCTCCCTCTCCATAGGATGGAAAAGGCTCGTGATAGGGGCTTCTTGCAGTTCTTGATGAACACAGAGTTCCATGAGTCTGGCCCTGGGGCAGAGTGCATGGGCATGTCATTTATCGCCTGTTCGAAGTCATTTGGCGTCAGGATAACATCGGATAGGCTTGTGTTAATCAAATTTTGTGGCTCTCTCATAAAAAATTCATTTTGATCTTCGACTCTCAGTCTGGTTAGCGGCTTGCTAAAAACTGAGTCATACTGGGACTTGAGTAGCTCACTCATTTCCTTGCTGTCATCTGTGTAGGACCCATCTTGTTAAGTAGGATTGTGCTGGAAAATTCCTTCTCCATCAGGAAAGCCTATCCACAATGGGAAACAAATGAGTTGCCAGGATTGCCTTGTATTTGTCACCGTTCATCGTTCCCTCAACAATAACAAGCCGTCCAGGGCCTTTAGAAGTAAAATTGCACCAAAACATCTTCTTAGGTGGGTGTTCTGGCGCTTGTTGAATGTGTCCATTCCGAAAATGTTCCCCTTTGCTCCGTCTCGCTACCACTGATCTGTACCCATGTACTTCAAAATGTGCCTCATCTGAAAATATAACTTTTCTCCAATCATCTATTGCCCATCCTTAAAGATCGAACGTCCACCGCAGCCGTTTTTTCTTTATTGCAGCAGTCAATAATTGTTTCTTTACCGGCTTTTTGACAGTTCTGCCAACTTCAAGAAGCTTTCGTAGAACAGTTGAAGAAACAACATTTACGCCAACTGAAGCCAAATCTCTCTGTAGATCTTTGCTGGTTTTCTTGGGATCCTTCACATTATTTCTTAAGAGAACCTTATCATCTTCCTCGACGCAGAGTTCCACAATCACCAGTGTTGTCAGTTCTCTTCAGAATCCGACCAGCAGTTGACTTTGCTAGGCTCAAATTTTCGGCGATCTGTCTGATACTCAAATCGGCATGTTTTCTAAGAAATACAGTATTTGCACGTTTCCTAGTTGCAACATCCATCATGAATTTTTGCAGTAACTATGAACTGAAGGGAAGAATTAGGCGAAACCACATTCACTCTCGGAGCACACTTGTAGGAATACTTACATAACAACAGCTGTCGTAGCACAGATAAGGGTCGCAGGGTAACACCACAGCTGGATGGTTGCCAGAAATTGATAACAAACTCTTCTGACAAGAAAAGACCCCAAACTACATTAATTAAGCAGGAGACTAAGACATATTATGAGATAATTACAAAATTTGCTCCTGTCCCAATTAATTGGTACACTACTGTAGTAGAGTTCTTAGTATTGTGCCTGAGTATTGCTAACAACATATTAGCGTTGGGCAGGAATGATAATGTTAATGTTGGTGGTGGAGGAGTGACGAATTTGAGTTTTTAATTTGACTGTTTTTTGATGGGTTGTGACGACCAAAAGTATCTAATCTTAGTGGTTACCTTGTGCTGAAATGCCTCAGAAATATCATAAGCACTATAGTCCTCATGTTGACTGCGACTTTTATATTATCTTCTATAAAATATAGACCTTACAGACACCTGTTCGGTAGCACACGACTTACTGTGGTCGAGTGTCGCTGCACATAGCAGGTACAATATAATATATGCTGTCATAGGGTAGAGTCAACCTTGTTTGCAGCTGCTGGTTCTGGCAAGTCTCCCACACTTTGTGAACAACAGTCAACTCCTGCGACTGTTCCCAGTCTAACTCATGCTGAACTTACGATTGTAATTTCCTCTTTAGAAATTATCAACGAATCAATTATTTTTAGAAATTTCATAAAACCTAATAAAATATTTTCGAAATAAATTTTCGTGAAAAGATTTTTACAGTTTATTTGGATCATAAAGCTTCTGCTTAATGTGTTGAACTTCTTTACTTTTGAAAACCTGTCATTCAGCTGCTTTGCAACTGTTAAAATAAGCGGATATTTTCATCAGGCTGATGTGACCTTGAATATAATGACATTGAAACCTTGGAGACACATTAATGAGCTCGATACTTGACGATACTTTATAATGAAATTACATGTTAGTTTGATTAGTACAGTGATGTGCTGGACTAATAATATTTTGAATTTTTTTATGTGTTACAGTTTATTTTTTTACTTAATCTAGTGATACCATGCAGGTCTTGAGATCCATTGATGCACTGTAGTGCAATGATAAATTTATATTCTATACAATTTTATTATTTGTAATAATTTACGCTTAGGAATGCAGATGACAACACCTCTTAATACTCAAGAACAAACTTCGTTGTAGTGGATAATACATCCGTATAAATATATTGTAGACAATAGTAAACGTTTCGTTCTTAGTTCTACGTAGCTGGAGGAACGTTAATTGCACCTTTTATCCTTTCCATATTAGCATTTTATTAACTAAAAACTGCTTGTATTTGTTCTTATTTAAAAATTTTCTTACCCACTTTGAACTCGTGAGATTGTGCACACCAACATGGGGTAGTCATTCTATAGACGAGGAATCAACTTTGTTTGGGTTTAAAGTATATTCGGAAGCTATGATAGTTAATAGTTTTTATACTTCAACACCTAATTTATTATTCTTTGCTTTCTTGGGTTGTCCAAGACTGTTAAATCTGTCCGGGATTAATAATCCAAAAAGACTCTTAATCTTTTTCGAGTTCATTTATTGCTTTATCCTGCAGTCGTGCACCTTCCGAGGTAGTCACTGAAGCTCGCACTTCCGAGGTAGTCACTGAAGCTCGCACTTCCGAGGTAGTCACTGAGGCTCGCACTTCCGAGGTAGTCACTGAAGCTCGCACTTCCGAGGTAGTCACTGAGGCTCGCACTTCCGAGGTAGTCACTGAAGCTCGCACTTCCGAGGTAGTCACTGAAGCTCGCACTTCCGAGGTAGTCACTGAAGCTTGGACTTTGTATTCCTATACTCTTATGTCTGAACTGAATTTCATCTTTCTGTTGACACTTTATTTATATCGAGAGGCTTATCTCTTAGTAAATACGTAATATTATATATATATAAAAGTGTACTTGCGTACACATTTATATCTGCGACCTTAGATACCATCGTGGAGTCGACTGACTTTTAAACTCATTAAGAATCATTTCTCTCTCTGAGGCACTTGTAACTTAGTCAAATTTATTTTGCTGAAATATAATACTGAGACAAACTCATGTCTATTATTTTTTTTATTTAACCTTTTTTTTTCTATTAATATTTTGGCTTGCATAATGTACGCCAAGAGTGCCTCTAAAGTTTTTTTTTCCACTTTCAATCTACAGAATTGCTCATAAATTTAGCGTTCTGTTTCCACCAACATTTTTAATGCTAATTAGAAACAAGATGTTCATCTCAATAGCGCACAAGACCACATTTATTGAATGACTGGTTTCGAGCTGAAAGGTTGTTCTTATCTCTCTTCTACTACTACGACTATTACTACTGCCGTAAATCTTACTCTTAGGAATTCGAGATCTGTATATTTTCTCTTGAAATATGGTGAGAAAACTTGGACAGCGTCTCTTCTCTAGGATGTTTGTCTATAGCAGTGGTTCCCAAACTGGGGGTAAATTACCCCCTGGGGGTAATTTAACCATTTTTGGGGGGTAATGGAGGGGTGACAGAAAAAAAGTTATGAATTCTGAAAATCAAGAAAACAATGCGGTACCCGGTATGAGGATTATTGTTAACTTTGTCTTAGTATATAAAGTTGTAAAGTAAACCTATTATAAGTAAGTAATAAAGTTAAACCAAATAACAATAAACATCAAAAACTAATATACAGTATTAGAAAAGAAGAAATATATAGCTAAGTGTGTGGAAACCCAAAAGTATTTTGACAAGTATGCTTCAGGACAAAAGTCACTCAGTAGCCCAGATTGACCTGTCCAGTACGCGTTACTCACTTCCTGAGGCTGCCTCTATTTCACACTGTCAGTTTATCTGTGAGCATCAGCCGAGGTAGACATAAGCTGGTATGTATGTGTACTGCCCTGTGCAGTATATAGTTATTATTTACCCACTGTTACTGTGAATTTGTAGCTATTATTAATTTTATATATAATGTATGTGTGGTTCTTACGTTTTCAATGGTTTTGCTAGGATTAGCAGAGTATGCGAGGCTGTATACGCTCACATTTAGCCATATATATCAATAATAACAACATTTTGTGAAAGGGGTAACATGCTTTATGCGGCATGTTAAATTGGGTAACAAGCTGAAAAAGTTTGGGAACCACTGCATAGAGTTAAACCTAGAAGAGAACGGAACGTTATTTCAGTCTTCCATGTTAAAGCTGTTCTGTGGAAAGAGTCAGGATCCTTCACGAGATATTTCTGGGGTTATCTGCTGAACAATAGCGGATGATGTTCTTTTTAAGTTTTGTCCAGAGATTATGTATTAAGTACAAATCATATGCTTTGTAATATATGCTTAATTGTTACGTTGTCTATCACTTTTCGAACTAATGGGTTCATAATGATTGTTATGAGGGTTATAAAACAAATATAAATACATGAAATATTATGTTTATTTAAACTTTGTTCTCTAACCTGTGTAGATACTGGTAAGCCCAGGTTATCTTTCGAACACGTTTGTCTGGTACAAAACTGAATCAGATCAGTTCATGGAGTTCACTGGATCTTGACTATCATTCATACAGAAAGATCAGGTCTTGGAGGATGTTAATAGAAGAAGTACTGAAAGCTCTTAACTGGTGGAAGAATATTGCCGAGTTCAGCATAACATTAATGTAAGATGGTCTGGATGGACTTGGCAGGCATCTTATAGTTAAGGAAAGTGTCAGCACCATCAGTCACAGAGACGTCCACTTCGCTCTCACCTCTGAAAGCAAATATCAGGTAACTGTTTTATAGCTTCGAATACTGGATAAGCTAAGAAAAATGAAAACTTCCAGATGAACATAATAAAATTTGTTGTTTGGGTTATGAAAATTTTCTGTCGGAGTAATCGGAATTTTAAATTACTTAAAATTGTTAGTTGAACGGAATGAAACCTGTAAAATATAGTTAATTGTTGTGAAGGTATTTAAGACACTCCTGTGATTCCTTACAGGAGCGTCTTTACAGGAGTGTGCAGTTGAAAGTCATAAAGCCTAACAATCTAATTAATAAGATTTTTTTTTTAAAGAGGTGGACCGGTAAGCTTGTGGAAGGATTAGGTCAACTGACCAACAGCTCCAGTGGCGGGTCATCACATGACTAAGACCCGCGTCAGGAAACACTTGTCTTGTTTCCCGACGAATCTTACTTAATCATACATTGCCTTACTTGTTGAGAAGAAGGACAACAGTGCTGCCTGAGGGGTCAATGAAGGCAGCAGTTTCAAGTGTGTCGCTGGTGGCGGAGGAGGACACTCGCTCAGCACCATCCACCACGAATTTACTAAAGTGACCCATAACGTAGAACATTGGTTGCTTGTAGAACTCTCCCTCATCCTGTGGATCATATGTAATGTTTTTGTACCGTTTATGATCCCACTGAAGAGTTATATTTTGCAGTGCCGTAAAGACCGTCTTGCTAATAATTGTTTGTATTATAATTTTTATATAAAACAAATTTAAAGGAGACATAACGAATGAACTGTTTTAAAAAAAATCGGATTCAAAATAAAATTAATTTTCCTTTGAATTTCTGGTTCAGAATACTCGGCATTTACTATTAGTGCTGCCATGTGAACGCTGAGTGGAATGTTTTCTGCACACAAAAATTATAATTAAAGATTTATGGTTTTTACTGTGCTAGGCGTCTCCTACCATGGAAGGGTGACCCCTAAAGAAGGAAAGCAGCTTCACCATCATTCATTCAACAGCTGTCTAACCAGAAGTAAACAGGCATCACAGTTCAAGTAGTCCACCGAAATGCAACATCCAAATCCCTTCTTCAGAGTGGGCACTGTACTCTTCACCTTGTTTACACTCTAACAGCACGTCAAACCCTAAAAAAAAAACTTGTCTCCACTTACTCCGATCTAACATGCTCATGCACGCCTCCCTCCAATTCTTCTTCTACCTATTTAAATGGTCGCAACATCTTAATAACTTTTTTTTTCATAAACAAATAAATTTTCCAGGCTCAGATCTGTTATCCAACCTCATCTCATACCAAAGTTCCAGCTCCATCTAAGGTATACTACCCCCCAGGATGCGACCCACACCAGTCAGTTAACACCCAGGTACCCACTTTTAGGTGAACAGGAGCAGTAGGTGTAAGAAAATATGCCCAACTTTTCCACCCGTATCGGGTATCGAATCCCAGACACTCAGTTCGTGAGCTGAAATTAATATTATGATGATTCTTAAATACAGACCAGCCGACTTTGATAACATTCACCCACCGAAATATTAGTAACTTAAACTGGATCGAAGTACTAAATTTAGACAGTGTTCTCGTGTTAGGAGCGAATACTCAATCATTTCTCGTCAGTAGGTAGAACGATAACGATGAGTTACACTAACAATATTAACGATGACAGGGGCATCAAGCATGCTGTCGGCCCAGTTGGGTCCACCAACCCTGTTCAGAGCCATGTTCCAGTCCACCCAGCCAGTCGAGTAGTGGTTTACAGCCTGTAGCAGGAAATACATTCCATGTACTGTTTACTCATATTAACATCAGTATTAGGAAATTTGTTTACATTATACAATGAAGAATGACACATTGATACAATGAATGATCATATATTACTTGTCTTTTTAAATCTGTTGATGAAGATTTTTCATAGACGATTTTTTTTCAATAAGGATTTCAGTACTTAATAGTGGATGAACTAGTTCTTACTTCAAAAATGTGATGCGCATACTCCTCTCCTCGCTGCCATGATCCAAGTTCTGCCTCGTCGAAGCCTGTAAAAAAGCACTGAGTTTAGTTCTAAAAACTGCGAGAACCAGTGACAATGATATTTGTCTCTCTACAGTTGGACCTTAAATTAAGAATCACCTCAGATATTAGTAAAAGTCTTTTTTAAAAATAATGTGGTTAATGAGATATAATTTGTAGACGAATCCTGCAAGATTGTAAAACATGAGACTTACGGAATGTAAGATAAAACAAAGTACTCGGCAACTAAAGTCTTTAGTGGACAAGTTTACGCTCAAGTGTGTCCTTTATCAAGTCAAACAGAGGTATAGATAATACTTTGGGGTACATAAATGTTAGTTGTGTTACTTTGCAGGACATAAAGTTCTCACTTGAGGGAAAGCTTGTTCAATAAAACTCCTCTTGCTAAATGTTTTCTTCTATATATTCTATATATGTTTAGTGGAATGAAGAGCAATATTTTCATGATTAAATACATGGTCTATAAATATCCTCAAGCTCAAACCCATTGTAATAGACAGGTTTAACATTACTCTGGCATAGTTTTGTCTAAATACGATAATAGTATACAATACCAACAAGCAGATAAATATGAAACATGTGCAAGTTTTGAATAGTTTGGATAAGTTTATTGGATAGGTTTATTCTTCTGAGAATATTGCTATTTCTATATTTTACTTTTTCGTTAGGTGAAATATACACTCCTTCTTTTGCACCCTCATGCAGGTTCTTTAACCATTTTTACACATTATTAAATCCTTTATTCTTATGTATATTTTCGTACTTACTAAAACAGGCCTCAGAGTAGAGAATGAACCTTTCTGGAGAAAGTTCGTGGGTCTCGTCCAGAACAGTAGCGCTGACTTTAGAGTCCGAGTACCAGTGGACGGCTGTACCGTCAACGTATTGAGCACACTCAGGGTCTTCCAACAACTGGAAAAAATGTGTGATATTTTTCAGTATGTTTGTTAATCACGGCTTGAGTGTTAGTTAATAAGATAAACCTTGATTTCCGTTGGAGATTTTATTACTAAAACTCTCCCTCCTGACTGAAAGCTGATCGTAATGAAAATTGCTGTAAAAGTAACAATTTACCATTTATCAGCTTCATGTTTGCATATTATATGGCATGTTATCAAAGCTAATGTCACTTCACAGTTACTGATTCTTTCTAAAGTTAATGGGATCACAAACATAGCCAGTTAATAAAGGAATCTAGCAAATATAATTCGAAGCTGTTCATAGCGTTGTATCAGACAACACTGGATATGACGGATGCATCAAACGAAACTTGATGCATGTAATATGCTGCCCAGAACTGCCCGTTTAGATTATGGAATTCAAACATAGCACGTTATACCCAGTACTTACTGTCTCGGCGAACCAGGGCAGAGAGTCTCTGTTGAAGTCAACTATCATCATCTTAAGACGACGATACCCGTTTGCCTCCAGTGTGGGTCCAAGATTACCTTTCAACCAGTCACGCATTTCCTCGGCCGTCCATCCACAACAGTTTATGGGCCACTGTTTCAACAAATACACTAGTTAACCATAAGAAAATAGTGCTTCACTTTTTAAACTGGTTACTTCTTACTATACAATTTTAAAGCAGGAATAAGATCAATTATAAGATGCAATATTTACAGTGCAAAGAAATTCTTACATTATTGAGGCCACCGAGGGGTTCATTCTGTGGTGTGAGTCCCCACAGACCAACTCCTTCTGCTTCATATGCCTGCACGAATCTGTTAAATTAAATTAAAAATATACCAAATCAAAAAAATAAATAATATTAAAATATCGATAAATATTTATTTAAAACAAGGTATATTTCTGAATACTTCATAGTTTATCACTAAGCACCGTCTTATTACTTACTTAACAAGGTAGTTTGCATAGGGCTGCCACATCTCCTTTATGAGTATTCCAGCTCCATTGAACTCTCCATTAGTCTTCATCCAGGCAGGAGGTGCCCAGGGTGAGCCAAACAACTTCACCGGCCTAGGAGCCAATTCTATGGCTCGCAGGATCAGTGGGATCTGAGGTAATCAAATGATTGTCACAAGTGTGAGAGAAGAAATACTTTTGCATTCTTTAAATACATTTGTGGTTTTCACTTTCATTTTGTGAATATAATAAGAGATTTGGTAGCTAGCTAATTGCTCCTTAAGAACAAAATTTAGCATTGTTCAATGTTCATATAATCTCCTCAAGGGGAGGGGGGAGGTTCCTTGATACTGGTGGAAGGTTCCTGATCTAAGAAACTGGAGATACTCTCGAACTGCTTAGACCAAATCTGGTTACGTTCCATTTTTCAGATGTTATAGGACCCTTACAGGTTTAGTACTGCCTTCTAAAACTTATTGTTTTAATTATTAATATTTACACAATGACTTTTTTCGTTGAGCCTAACTAATAACTGTCTGGTGCTAATTATGACTTATGATCTTCGCCCGGAGCCTCAGCATGGCAACTAAACTCTCATGACACAAATTATGCAGAATTATAATCAGGATGAGAGACACGATTATGCAAGAAAATTGAACCACCTCTGACCCTGGCAATTTGTTAGTTTTGATAAGATAAAGTGAAGCTGCACCAACAAAAGCGATTTCTATCAGTATTCACCTTATAATCGTAATCCTCATAAGTCAGGTTCCAGTGTACAAGGTCGACATCTCCCTCCACATCATCGTAGGAGTAGGTCCTGGTGGAGCAGTCAGCACCAGCGATAGGGATGCGACCGATGGAATATGCGTTACCTTCTTCAGCAAAGTAGGATCTACGATTGTAAATAATGAGACATAAATTTTCTTCTGAATTATACGAATAACTCACCAAGGATGTACTTTGATGCTACCCTTTCCCTTTCTCGGATCAAACCTGATTTACCTCTACCCTCTTTACCGCCAGGTGTTTAATGTTTCTCATATGACAATTATGTGTAGGTTGCAAGACATACGTATTTTCCATCTTATGAGAACAGTCGTTTATACTGTAGTGTGAATACTACTGGACGATGTTTGTTTTACTCATCAAAACATATACACTTTGTGTAAAATTGGAAATTTTTTTCAGGTGTTAATTGCACTTTTAAAGTTGTATAACCAACTATATATTTATATTGTTTTAGATTGTGTAGGTAAAATAATGTAAAATATAACTGGGTATATTTTTAATGTGTATTTTAATATGTTGTAGAATGACTGAAGGGCATAATACAACATTTATCACTGAGAACGTAAGTACAACAAGAATTAAAAATTGTCTCTTTTGTAAAGAAATGAGAAGGGGGAGGTGTTAAGACAAGTTATCCTTGAGATACATTAGTCATGAACACTCCCGACCTGGTCACGACTACATTAGCTGGGATTAAATCTGGTAGGTATTAAAATAAACAATTTCAGACAAGAGATTTTCGTAATGTAACTTTTGTATATCAAGGAAATAAGTGTTATCATCGATTAATATTTAAATAGCTACGTAAAATTTTGTATCACGTGAATCTAATTTGCCGATTTTCTGCAAATTTCGATTTTTCGGCATAACGACGGGAACTAAAAAAAATTGTGTTTATAGATTTCAGACGGTCATTTCGTTATGGTGTTCAACTAATTCAGCCGTGTTCACCATCTGGACCGAGACACAAGAAATGAATGAATGCTCTTTCAAAATAAGATTTACCTGTTTATAATTTCCACAACATCTAGTAGCGCTAAAGAGCATAATCTCAGAAGAAGGTACCAGAGTGAAGGCCTTTACCTGAGGAAGTATTCTTGGGCCTCGCTGGGAAGGCTGACAACGCTGAGACCTGCGGAGTCGGTGAAGGCTCCGCCGAAGCCTAGCATTGTCTGGTACACGTCATCACGGTTCACCGTCACCACCACAGCATCTGGCAAGAACACATATATTGCTGCACAGTTTTGGTCACCGTATTACAGAATGGATATAAATGCTCTGGAAAATGTACAAAGGAGGATGACAAAGTTGATCCCATGTATCAGAAACCTTCCCTATGAGGATAGACTAAGGGCCCTGAATCTGCACTCTCTAGAAAGACGTAGAATTAGGGGGGATATGATTGAGGTGTATAAATGGAAGACAGGAATAAATAAAGGGGATGTAAATAGTGTGCTGAAAATATCTAGCCTAAACAGGACTCGCAGCAATGGTTTCAAGTTGGAAAAATTCAGATTCAGGAAGGATATAGGAAAGTACTGGTTTGGTAATAGAGTTGTGGATGAGTGGAACAAACTCCCAAGTACAGTTATAGAGGCCAGAACATTGTGTAGTTTTAAAAATAGGTTGGATAAATACATGAGTGGATGTGGGTGGGTGTGAGTTGGACCTGATAGCTTGTGCTACCAGGTCGGTTGCCGTGTTCCTCCCTTAAGTCAATGTGACCTGACCTGACTAGGTTGGGTGCATTGGCTTAAGCCGGTAGGAGACTTGGACCTGCCTCGCATGGGCCAGTAGGCCTTCTGCAGTGTTCCTTCGTTCTTATGTTCTTGTGTTCTTAAGAAGGAACACTGCAACAGGCCTACTGACCCATGCGGAGCAGGTCCATTCCCCCCCCCCGGATTAGCCCAATGACCCACCCAGTCTGGCCACCTTCACTCAAGGAAGGAGCACGGCACCAGACCCAGTAGCACAAGCTAGTCAGGTCCAACTCACCCACCCACACCCATTCATGTATTTATCTAACCTATTTTTAAAACTACACAACGTTTTAGCCTGAATAGCTGTACTCGGGAGTTTGTTCCACTCATCCACGACTCTATTACCAAACCAGTGCTTCCTGAATCTGAATTTTTCCAACTTAAAACCATTGCTGCGAGTCCTGTCTTGGCTGGAAATTTTCAGCACGCTTGAACAGTATCATCATTGACCCAGCATCTCTTGCCTTGAAAGTTCTAATTATCCCGTCTATCGTTTACCTTGCTGTAGGAATAGAAATACTGTTGTGATCTTTGACTGTAAGATCATCTAACATCATTATTTCCAAGTCTCACTCGTAAAACTTTCACTCTACTGATGGTTTGAGTTTATCTTGTACTCCTGTTGTCTTTATTTCCTCCATTATTTTATAACAAAGAAACTGAAACTTGTCCTTGTCAAACATCATATTGTTGACTGAGGTCCATTGGAAGACTCAACTGATTTATATCAGATTGAAGATATGCTGTCTTCGACGGACGACAGTCATGAAGACTCTGGTGTCATCACTAATGAATGTTACGGTGCTGTGATTTATATCCTTATCGATGCCATACCTCTGATGAGTTTCGAGATTCTTACCACTCCCTGGAACTGATTAGTCTGTTATTTTTTGTGTACAATTTTTAATATAATTTGTAAGCATGTTTAAGGGTGTGTTTGATGGTAATTCTTGTTATTAACAGCTAAAGCTGCAGTAATAGGTTGGCACCTTGAGAGAAACTATCCTCTTTCCTTAAGGAAGTTCTTCACACATACAAGCACGTTACCATCATTGTTTAATAAACGTGATTCTTTCAGTTCCAGACAAGACGAAAAGACGATCTAATGTATCCAGACAGGTACTACTCACCTGGAGTTTCCTCGCTGGCCACAGGGAAAGTCTCTACGTTGAACCTGAGACCTTCCTCACTGCTGGTAACGACGGTGAAGCTACCTTCGTCAGGAAAGTCAATGATGCCTGGCTCGTCACAGAAAGAGGCGTCGCAGACACACACAATTCCCCCTTCCATCTCGCGAGGGTTGCATTCCTCTGAGGGCAGGAGTAAAATAATAATGTAATAACGTGTATACAGACCGATAGTTAAATCCCTAACCCTAGAAATTAGTCTTGGTATAAGCGAATGGATGAAGATATTAATGAAACGTTTACAAGACTCTTAATGTTGAACTGAGCGGATCATGTGGTCATTTGATTTTCCCTAATGAATGAACAGTCGATGGAATTTAACACAGCAAAATAACTGGAATGAATGTTGTACCACAGGATAACACATTTTTGCCTTATCCATCAGGGTTATATTTACCTTGGGCTGAGGTGCTCCACAACAACGCTAACATAAGCACCACAGTCCTCATGGTTGATTGATTCTTCTGTACCCTCTTGCTACAGAATACAATCACTGCACACCCCACTACACCGTTGCTGGAGTACAGTACATTATGGGTACACACTATATATATAACCACACTGTAGATAGCTGACCTTGTTGCCACCTGTTGGCTCTAGAACATTTCTCAAACTTCAAGCATTAACGTCACTAAGTTTTGATACAACTCATCTGCTCTGCAAATGAGGTGAGTTTATTATTCTGCTATTTAGACATTTGTAACTGAATTAATATTTTTTTCAAGTTCGTCTGTGCTGAAATTCATACTACATCTGCAAAAGTGCGATTCTTGGGTCGCAGACATATATATATTGACCAAGATATATTTTTGTGTAAGGATGGTTTAACGAGTTATATATTGCAGCTGTTGTTTTGGGTAATTGTTTATATGGTTTATATATTTGTTGTATTAAATAGTAAAACTCACTTATATTCAACGAAAGTTTGCTATCGTATTATTACAACGGATTAACTAAAGTAGGTTAATAATCTATCACAATGCATATATCTGTATTGTAGACCATTTTTGACTTATCAATAATAATATTATCAGAATGGACTGCTATGAAAATTAGTGCCATGAGAATAGGATTTTGTACACAAATTAAACACGATGCTGTTTCAGTTGTCATATTAATTAAGATAACGAGTCTACTTTAAACCTAGATATTTTTAACGTGGATTACTAGAGGTTGTAGTTATATGTAAATCATTCAGAACAAAGTCACCGTTCCTGTGATTCTAGTGAGCAGCCGAGGCGCCTCACTCCGGCTACATTCACCCTAACATTGGTGCCCTAAAATCTGTAGGTAAGAGTATTATTGAAAATTAATTTCCATCTTGTTGGTACTGTATACCATTCTTGTACAAAAGTATTATTACTCGTTTGTATTTGCATTAGAATATAAACTGTTAATGTTCATAGAACATCTAGAAATGTATATAAATTACATGTAATTAATTATGATCATTTAAGTACCTTTTACAAATATTATCTAAGAACTGCCAGAATGGTAACATATATTGCAGAAGTTGTTTTTTAATTTTTTTTTATGCATTCGAATTTTTATCCCACTTAGTCATTTCAAAGCCCAGCCTTATTTAAAGTATACTGAATATGAACGTGATAAAAATAACACAATATTTCAACATTATGACTCACAAAATAGTAATGACACGGTTGCAAATAAACCAGACCACGAGTGGGGCTTGAACCCGCGGTCAGTCATAAAACTCCAGACCGAAGCGTTAGCCACTGGGCCAGCTGGCTACAATAAGATTCCTCCAACTAGGTATATTTATACACTAGAGGAAGTTAGCACAGGCACCACTGTGACCACAAATGCAAGTTTTTAAAGACGAATCTCCCGCCAGCGTAGCCGGAAATTCGTCTGCTCTGCTTTAACATCCCACATCACAAAAATCTTTGAAATAGTGCTAAGAAGCACGACTGGAAACCAGTTAGACTCCCAAAAACTGCACAATCCAGGGCAACATGGGTTCAGAGCAGGTCGCTCTTGCCTCTCGCAACTACTGGATATGGTCTTAGATACACTGGAAATATAGCAGAATGCAGATGTAATATACACAGATTTTGCAAAAGCCTCTGACACGTGCGTTCATGGATCAATAGGGCACAAAACATGTGCTAAAGAAATAACTGGCAGAGTGGGGAGATGGATTATCAACTTTCTAACCAATCGAACACAAAGAGGAGCAGTCAACAGAGGTAAATCGGAAGCTGCCATAGTGAAAAGCTCTGTTCCACAAGACACAGTACTCTCGCCCCATCCTGTTCCTCATCCTCATATCAGACATAGATAGAGATGTAATCCACAGCACCGTGTCATCTTTTGCAGACGATACTAGGATCTGCATGAAAATGTCATCTATTGAGGACACGGTTAACCTCCAAGAAGATATAAACCAAGTTTTCCAGTGGGCAACGGAATACAATGTGATGTTCAATGAAGACAAATTCCAACTACTACGTTATGGAAAACTGGAGGAGATAATAACTAGAACTGAGAATACAACAAACTCTGATCACACAATAGAATGAAAAAATAATGTGAGGGACCTAAGAGTGGTAATGTCTGAGGATCTCACTTTCAAGGATCACAACAGTGCCACGATTACAACTGTAAAGAAAATGATAGGATGGATAATGAGAACCTTCAAAACAAGAGATGCCAAGCCAATGATGATCCTTTTCAAATCACTTGTTCTCTCTAGGCTGCAATATTGCTGTACAGGTGAAATTGCAGTTGTAGTGTCCAGAGAACCTTTACTGCACATGTAAGTTCTGTCAAACACCTCAACTACTGGGAACGCTTGGAAGCACTTGACTTGTACTCGCTGGAATGCAAGCGAGAGATGTATCATAATCTACACTTGGAAAATCCTAAAAGGAATGGTCCCGAATCTGCACACAGAAATCACTCCCTACGAAAGTAAAAGACTGGGCAGGCAGTCCAAAATACTCCCAATGAAAAGTAGGGGCACCATTGGTACACCAAGAGAAAACACAATAAGTGTCTGGGGCCCAAGACTGTTCAACAGCCTCCCACCATGCATAAATTGAATTACCAATAGGCACCTGGTTGCCTTCAAGAGGGAGCTGGACAGATACTTAATTAAAGTCGGTGCCGGATCAGCCGGGCTGTGGTTAGTACGTTGGACTACGTGCGGCCAGCAGAAACAGCCTGGTTGATCAGGCCCTGATCCACAGGGAGGTCTGGTCGTGGACCGGGCCACGGGGGCGTTGATCCTCAGAATACCCTCCAGATAGACTTGTTTTACTCATTATTTCATGGATTCAAAGGACTCGCCCTTTCCCTGTATTTGTAGGGATGTGTAAACACAAGAGGTGGTTGTCAAGAATTTTTCTAGTAAGGAGTTACCCATCAATGGGTAGCTCCTTACTAGACATGGGCCCTCTGTTCTCAGGCAGGTACTATTGTGAACTTATCACAGGATGGAGCCCAGTGCTTGCCGTAACAGAGGAGACATTTCGGAGTACGAATGGAGGCAGGTGGGGTAGACTTCATCCACTTACCCTTGCTCCTAATTTTTACTTTGTTATTTTGTGTGGCGACTAGGAACACATCCACAGTCATACTGTCGTTAGCATAGTATCTAATGACAGGTGGTATCTTAGGTGATGGTGCTTTGGTGAGGACCTGTGAGATGGTGGCTTAACATGCCTAGTATTAATTTACATATAGGCCACAATATGCTGTTGGCCTTCACTAATCTCAGCACAGGTGAATCTTCGTTTAACAAATTGTAAATTCAGGTGTTCTAGAGTCTTTTCTGGCAGTTGCCTCTCTACAATGGGACCGAAACCTCAGTCGCTCTCTTTCACTTTTTCGTAACAGGCCAGAGACCGAAGACGGTTATCCAGAGGGATTCTGAATGCTTGTAACTCTGATAAGCAGTGTGAAGGTGTGAGATCAACCAACCTGTAGACGTGTTGGGGTGTAATCCGATCCTTATCATAGTAATTAAGTTCTAGGACTTAATTACAGTGATATCAAGATGCTGCTAATTACGAACACCTTGATATCACAGGTGCTGGTAATTAGCACCTGTGATATCAAGACCTTTGATAAGGTCATAAGCTTCTCCCCTCAGTTGAGTTCTCAAGTAATTGAACTTAGCCGGGTCATCAATGTCGTACCGAGTCAATTAGCGACCACAAACTCACTAAGAACTCTTCAAATTCCTGCCTGTCACATGTGGGCAGTTTTATTTGGGGTAATCGCAGTAGCATTTGTAGTTGAGGGACGTGGTTTAATGGCCCCTGGGAGGGAATGGTGGAGGCAACCAGCCCACTGTGGACCATTTGCCTAAGGGTTCATTTAAAGCGACAGGTCGCTTCAAGGACATGTTCTTCCCTTTCAGCATAACGTTCCTGAACGTCATTCAGTTCAGTCCAGTCTTCTGAACTCATCAGCTTGTCCTCGAGTTGCTCATACTCTGCTGTGTAGGCTCGTTGCCTCATCTTCAGTAGATTTAAGTTGGTCTCCGATTCTAAGTAGTCAACTGGATTACGCTGCATCAATGTTGCGCAGGCATTAATCACTCTCGCGATGAAGTCCTGCTTACAGGGTAGGCTGAGCCTGAAATTATTGACTTACGAGTCAGGAAAGACTAGAGTTATTGTGGGAACACTTGTAGTTACAGACGAGGGGAGTTGACTTAGATTGAGACTTCGCCAATAAAGTCGGTCAGTGTGGCTGTATTTTGGGTGTTTGATCACCCGTGTGTTCTGCCGCTAGACATTTATATTCCTTTTCCCACCACTTTTACTGCCCCCTGTGTACCCTTTTGGGTTCTTGTAACAAGCTGGTTCAGTCAACAAGAACAGGAGTGAGGTGATTGGTACCCGATGGTCGGGGGTTTCTGTTGTGAATCACAAGATCCATTGCAAGCATTGTTTCATAACGCCTTCCCCAGCGGACATTTTGCCCCCTGGGAAATTTCACACTCCGCTTTTTTTTCATTACACACGGGCCCATTTGACTAACACAGCTGTCTCTAACTGCTATGACAAGAATGTAATATGTTACTTCCACGGCAAAAGGGGCCGCTGTTGTCCTCTTGTGATTAACAGTTAAAACGAAGGACCGTTCCCCTTTTATGGCAATGTTTCCTTAGTCCGGGACCATCTAGGTTCCGTTTCCGGTTACGTTCTATCTAGGGGTTTCTGTAAACCACGTCGGTGCGCCTCAACTTCTTCCCCTTGTTTTTCCCACAGCCCATCAAGAGGGGTTCCTTGAGTGGTGGGGGGCTTTTGTCTAGGGAATTGGATCTGTGCTCCATTCCCTGTATAAACCCTGAACCCCTTTCACCCCCCCTACATGTGCTGTAAACCCCTAGGTTTTTAAAGCGCCCCCCATGATTAAAAAAAATATAATTAAAATCTTTTTCCCCTTCGCGTTTTCAAAGCTTTTCATTTGTCTGTGAGATCTGGAGCGGGGTTTTGAAAAATTACTAAAAATAGATATAAAGACGTATACGCAATATCATTAAACATTATTTGGGAGTAGCAATATTTTTT